TCCCGCAATATTGCAGAACCTGTTTTCTGTAACAAGGTTTTTAAATTTCCCTCTCGTTTAACGGTGTTCTCGATTAACCTTTTCTGTAGTGTTTTAATTTAAATATTTAACTTGATGAGCTCGATGGCACAGTGGTTAGCGCGTCTGGTTTTCGTACGGAAGGTAGCAACTTTCGCTAGGACGAGTCGTAGGATGGGTGAACAAAATTTTGCTATCTCGACCTGCTCACGTTGGTCTTGACCTGCGGTCATTAATACACACTAATCCACTGGGCCCACGTGGTGGGTCGTGGCCCCTTTTTCCTATTCGATTTGATTCAATCCGAAGGAAAGGTTGTGCTCTAGCATCAGGTAATCTTTCAATATCATACACCAATCAAATGCAATAGTATTTCATATTTTGTATCACCAATTAGATTTCAGTGTTTCATTGTATAACTTATACGACCTAACTGAATGAATATAAAATCCTTCGTCACGAACTAGGTATCAGTCCAATGATGTAACCGTATGAAAATCCTTTAGTTTTTATTTATTTAACGCGTTTAGACAATCGTAGCCGAGGAAATTCGCTCTATAAAAATAATGTAAGGATATTTGACGTGGCAAAAGCTTTACTAAGACTGTCATGAGATCATTTTATTTGTTATTTTGTTGACCTAACTAACAACTAATTTTAATAATAATTTCCTCGGGCTGCCTTTTTATATTTCTTGGTTTTTACCTAGTAAGTATCATGATACTGAAATTACGCAGTCAACTGGAAGAGAGTATAGTACAAATAACAATTTCCACCACAGTTATTCTTTTCATTCTATTTCAGATTATATAATAATATAATCTGAATTTTCTAAGGTTCAAAAACAATGCAGTTTTGGTTCTCTTTGACGAACCTTAATCATCTCTAACTGAATCAAATGAACTGTCATTTTGTACATTGTATACCAAGTAGCTAGCCACGAGTTTATTATAGAGGCGTGAAATGTGCTTGACGAATATAAGCTTTATTGTATTGTAGGCAGAGTGCATATGAATTATATGTATTATATCAACAAACGCACGCGTCGCGTCGGTTATCGTGCGCTCGCGCAGATATGGCACGCGCCGACAATGCGGCCACTGTTCCTGCAGTAGCGACACGAAATTCTGCTCGCATTGTAGGCTGGCTATGAATTATAATTTCTATAGGACTTTTCAGTTTCCACGATCAAACAAAAACCTACGATCTGCTTTATGATAAGCATAATGACGATACCAATTAAGAGCCATATTACATTTCAACGGTGATTTTTGCGTAAAATGGTAAATTTTGGTAGTCTCGATCTCAGTAACAAAAATATATTAATAATTTTCACTTATTAAATAGCGTAGAATAGCTCTTGCCATAGTTTGTAGTGACTACACTTTTTGGAAATTTTGCTTAACTTTTTAATTAAACACAAAATAGCAGAGAATGATTTTCGTAAAATGCGTGAAGACACTATTGAGCTCCTGGATTGAGCCACTGTTCTAAACAAATGAAATAAAAGAAATAGAAAGATATTTCTTATATAGGCGTTTAGTTTGAAGTAAATTCGAAATTATGTTTTTTTTTATAAATATCATCTCAGTCATTAATGGTACCATCTTCATGTAATCTAACTTAGATTTTGGCTCTCTAAAAATTCTACCGTCCGCCTACCCTACTTTTTTAAATGGTTAGTTCTTTTAAAAGTTATGGTGGAATAAAAAACTCGCATACTTACTTATTATTATATTAATCTTTAACACAATTTACTCCTTTTCTTGGTCAGACGTGTAAAAATGGGCAGTAATAAAGACAACGAAGCACCCTATAGAAATACTAAAACAATGTGACTACAAAAAATGGGGAAAAGTATTAAAATAGCTTGCTCTTACTTTCAACACAGTATTGTCAGAGTATATTAGAGTATATTGAATTCATACATACATAACGGAACCGATTGTCTGAGCGCACCCGTCTTCGATCAACAAAGGCGTCCGTGCGTATGCGTAGTCGCATGCACACACTAATAAAATTATGCCTTGAAACTACAAATTTAAAGATCGCTTTAAATTCAAATAGAAAATATAACATTTCGTACCTGTCGAAATATGCGATTTTTTCTGTACTTTGTAAAAAGTAAAATATGTGTTACAGAGTTTTTTTGTGAAGAAATAGTTAACAGTATAATAAATGTATTTTTTTAATTATGTTATTTTATTTCAATAAATACAGGATTTACGAATGTCACGTTTTGACTAATCCTTTTCGATCCTAATTTTTCAAAACGCTCAACAGATCACACGACGTAATGAAAAATTTTCAATTTTTCACCCCTTGAAATAATAAACGTTATATTATAGATCCCTGATGTTTTCTATGTGGTCTTTGCATTTATGACGATTGTAGTACCTATAAGCAACAACCTTACCTGTTTAGGTTATTATCGTTCGCTCGGTGCTCAAGTCGGCGTACTATTCTATAATACTATGGTATCGTGAACTTGTGACCATAGACACGTGGTCGAGAAGCTTCAAATACCTAAACTCACAGAGTGCAAATTTGTAATAGGGCTTAATAACGTGAGAGGCTTTTTGTCAGATTTTGACCTCCTCCACCTCTGTTTTTTTTTTTGTGTTAGAAGAGATTTTTTTGTACGATTGATTGTTAGTCAAATCGACTGATCAACATACAGATTGGCTCGGGACGTAGCTAAGATACTCTCACCACTTCGAGGAAACACTAAAGCCTTTGTGAAGGATTCTTACAGTTTAACAGTGGAATTAAAGAACTTCGTCTTGTGGATAGTGAAACTATGGTCAGTTTTGATGTCCAGTCCTTATTCATATGTCTACTAGAACAGGACTGCATTAATATTACTAGGAAAAGGCTGGCACACCAATATATGCCAGTTGAATATGCAGAATTACTGGAACTTTGCCTTACATCGGGCTACCTTCTGTGGACTGGTGAATTTTATTTAAAAGTAGATGGTGTGGCGATGGGCTCACATGTATCATTCTTAATCGCTAATATTTTAATGGAGGACTTTGGGGAGAGTGCCTACACACACCGCCTATCCAATCTAGACTGTATAAACGGTACGTAGATGACACCATTACTATTTTACCAACAGATAAAGTTTCATTCATTATATCTCTGCTCGAAATACAATCAATACCAACCCTTTCCATCTTTCCTATTACCAACGCCACTTTGAAATTCACATTTATACTATACACGAATTATCTGGTATTGTATCTTAATCGAATAAAGATGACATTAAACTTACCGAAAAAGTTTTGGTCACCCTACTTTTTAGATTAACATTCAAATAAACATGCGCTACTTGATTTTATCTTTGTCATCGTCGTGGTCTATATTGTAATGTTTATAAAATACACCATGAACTGTTATGGTGTATTTTATCGACCATGGTAGTCAAACGCTGCATGAATTATAATGTAGGACAGCGCCTACGTCGCATTACTTAAGGTATGTACAATGATATGGAGTGATCTATATGATCGAGTGACAATCATCATATCGATCAATATCGTGTTTTGTTAATATAATTTTACTTCGGGATTTAATGCTATATACATTGGTAACGACATTTTTTACTGCGTAACGTTGGTGTTTTGTTTTCTTTTTATATGAAAAAAAGAAACTGTCCGTATTGTGTTTGTTTTTAGCGTAGGTAATATTAAGATTTAAATGTTTTCAATTTTCGATTGACAATATTGATTTGATAGCTCAAATACATTGATATCATAACATAAACCTTGTTAGAGCATTGCAATTTAAATATTGATATTGCTTATATTCTTAATGAAAATGCTTAAATAATCTACTTTGTCCGGAGCAGTCGCCCAGATTGCGAAAGAGTCCCATCTCAGAGTGCCAGGGACAAAGTGGATTTTTTAAGCATTTTTCATTAACAATATTTTCAGTATAGCATTGTGAATGCAAAGTTGATCAAGTATAATAATCGTATTTTCTTATTATACCATACCTACATTTCTATTATTATTAAATGACCAATTTTCAAAATATATAGGTATGAACCAGTTATCAAGCATGAGTATTCAGACTGATGCTGTGCATGTACTTTTTTAAACCAAAATTTAGTTTTGTATCGTATCGTTGACAAAAAATATCATGTCATTACTTTTGTGATTCTATAAATATTTATTTTTAACAGCTAATTATTAGTAAAAACCCTAACCTTGGTTAAAGGTCGGAGAAGTTAGATTTATTGTATTCATAAGGCATTGCAGATAAAAAAATTGACTAGTCAGCTTATCTGCAACTCATTGACCCGATTTCTTTAGGATCAAATTGCGAGTCCCGGGCCTCAGGCCGCTATCCCAGTTATGTAACGGGCTCCGCAACGTCGGCAGACGCCTCACAGACGGCGCCGGACCGGCTGGCGCCTAGAAAGAGATCGCGAACGGCCCTCTCACTCTACCTAAGACTATTGGCGCCCAACGTGTGGTTGGTGGTCCTTCGACAGATCGACTTCTGAGGGGTGTTCTTCTTTATGGCTCTTTGATTCGACTAAATTTATCGCGTGATAAAAAATATTAATACTTATGTCATGTAAACTTGGTTATCTCTTAAGATTTATGCGAGTGATTGGTCATAAAAATTTAATACTACGCTTTATTGGTACCGATGATCTTGTCTTCTGCTTTGGCAATTTCCTTCCCCGTTTGTAACTAGATTTCAATCTAGATATGCGTTGCAATAATGTTGGTACGATTGGAATCTTCTTATTGGCGCCCAACATGGTGCTACAATTTATTTAAATAACTTTAAGGAATCCTATTTTAAGTAATTTATATCTACCATATATAATTATATCAAATAAGCCAAAATGATGAAGTTAAAGTTTTTTTTTTCAGATTTAATTATTGAAAACCAAGTTATCCCATATTAAGAATAATATTTAATACGATAGAATGTAATTCTAAATAACTATATTTTGTTATCAGGTATAAGGATTGCAATGTGACAGAGACGAAGATAGAACCCGCCAAAACGAGTGCCTTAAAATAGCAACTAAATAAGTGCCTGTAGAAATTATAAGATCAACAAGACGAACGACATATCGCTACGAAAAACGAAAATTACGTAATAGGTAAGTAATATAAAGACTAAACAAACTGGATAGAGGTAACATAGCAAAATTTTACTTTTTGTTGGTATTAGATAGGGCGGAGTAATTTGAGTACCTAATTACAAATATAGGAAATAATTTATTGAAAAATATTCTTAATGTAAAATTGATGAAATATAATAAATATTTTATTTTGAGTGAATTTAGATTTGTAACGAAATAAAACTAGGACCGGTTTCTTTTTATTTTATACATATTTTTTTTTAATCATTCCTATTTCTATGTCTCTTTACATATTTATATTATATAAAGCTTTTATTTATATATAGATGTATCTCTACTCTTAAATTATTTTTATATTCTCAATCGTGTAGGGTGAGAATGTCCGATCAGATTTATTTTCTGTGCATCTCAATAGGGGGTCTGTGTTCGCGTAAGTGTAGGCGATTTAGTGAATAAAAAATATATGTAGCTTGAATATCCACTGGCTATGCACGCTGAATATATTTTCTCTTCCTTAGATACATCTATATGTTGGTTTTGTTTTTTATCCAACTTCAATAAAAGAGGAGATTCGTAATATGTCTTTAAGTATATTTAAGTATGTTCAGTAACTTCGTGGTTTTGATCGCAATTTTGATAATTACATATGCAAATATATACTAATAGTATAAAAAGGCAAGTTATAATTGTTTATTTGTTTGCATGAAATAGGAATACCTCCGAAGTTACTGAACCTATTAAAAAAAATACCTGCGTGATTTTTAAACCTAAAACGTATGCGGGTGACATAGACTATATTTTACGCAGGCAAAGTCGCGGGAAAACAGCTAGCCATTAATAAAAACACAATCATTGTATAGCTGTATTATCCTGTTGATTAAAGTTGAAAATGCATCCAACACTTCAACTTTAACCCTCTAATTGACACATCATCATTTGCTACTGGCAAAATATTATTCGTCTTAGATAAACACTATTAAAAAATATCACAAGTACTTTAAACATCGAATTCGATGATACCCCTTGAAACGTTAGATTTGATTTTATAATATTTATTTTAGATCCTTTTTGATTATATTTTAGTTGTTAAATAAACAGTTCATTATAGATCAAATCAAAAACTCATATAGTATATCTTGTTTTGAAGTTTTCTAAATGAAAATCTGCTCTCGACTTATTTATTGCAAAAAAAGTTTATGTATATTAAAAAGAAAGATTTCCGTTATGTATATAAATTTTGTGTTATGTGGTATTTCACGCAAAAATTTTCTTTTAAAAATAAATAATTTATTTACTTTTTTAGTTAAACTAAAAAAATACTTAATTCGTAATTTGTATTCTTAACACAATCGGCGACTATCTAGTGTTCACTTCAACTCAATTTGTATCAATTGAACTGTCAACAGAGTCGTGTTGTAGCGTTGGCAAAACAAACCAACCCTTCACGTCCTCACGCATTACTTCTGTACCGTCGCCCGGCACACTCCGCTGCGCAAATATTCATATTAATTGCCCGGCACTTTGGGGTTAACTCTTGTCCTTTAAAAATGTAACCCCCTCGGTCTATCACCCTTCAAGTAAAAGCTATAAGACGCAAAATCCCCTGATATTTACTTAGTGTGTCAATCAATGCTCTTTTGTGAACTAAAGTGGCCGCAGGTGTATCGTCAAAACCCCCAAAGGGTCTCATATTAACCATTTGTGTATTTGTTTTTATTCCGTCCACATCGCTTGATCAATTTTCTGATTTTCGAATGATGTCAGGAATTAATGGACAAATTTTTATTGGTCCTCATAAAAGTACATCCGCAGTAATCTTGTCATGATGTAGAGATTAATAACTCAGGAGTTCAACGCTGAGTCTTTGCCCCAATACGAATCAATAAACAAAATCACGAACGCCGGAAATCCGAGCGTAGTCCGAGATGCATTTCCATCTTTCACCGTCTTTTCACCCTCCGAAAACCATCCCTAAACTTGGTACCCTGTCTCTAGCTTTCGCGTGGGTGCGAAGGGGACAGTTAAGGCATAGAGCGCGTGCGTGGAACAACCCCTCATGAACTTCGGCTAACGTTGATAGTGGTAGGCGCGGGATCCTGGCGTGTTGCCGGGGTCGCCCAACATTCCTCCGTGGATCGTCCGCGGAGGCGGAGGTCCCGCTCTCTCACCCCCGATTTGTAAACCTGCAGTATTGCACCAGCAGATTTCTTTACCACTGCACCAAGGAGCACAAGTCGTCCTGACCTCATGTTCAACTTCTGTATTATATATCTATAACTGGCCATATTTAAACAACCTTTCGTATAGTTTACTATTATTGCCAACCTGTTCAAAGTCGACATCAGTAAATTAACAATTGAAATTAATCAGGGTGTGAGAGAGCGAGAGGGGAAAGTAAACTCTTTAAAGTGGGAACGAGACGACGCAATGGCTCGCCGCTCCCGGTCGAGGTAAGTGCCACTTTAGCCACGTGCTCGGAAAACTTTCAGTTTTCAGTTTCAGGTGGTTCATGAAACTCGTCGTTCAAATCTGTTTGTTCCATTGTTTTGGTAAAAGCCATTGTTGTCTTCTGGGGTTCATTGCCTGCTGTTTTGTGAGTGTTATTGTTCAGTTTACCATGTCGTTATTAATTCTGTTTCATTCAAATTTACTATAAACCGTAGTAAACATTTATATCACTAGTAAATGTTTGTAAAGTTGTACTGTATAGGTTTGCGTAACCGTACAATAATTTACTATTTAATTGATATTTGATTTGATAAAACAAATTACTTTAACTCGAAGGAATATATTTTTCGGAATAATTGTGTTTTTCATTATTAGCTTTCAAATAGTATCATTCGTTGTGTGTTATATGCATTTATTTTAGTTTTTATTGTTATTCTCAACTATTTCAATTTTAACTGTTTTCATGATGAAAATTCCACCAAAACTTAAATAATTATTTTAGTGAAGTCCGCGATATCAATATCTTCGTAATCTATTTTCGCTATTACACAATTTTAATCAATATCATAATTTTAAACCCATTAATTAATACATTTGTCACCACCCACCGTGGGTGTTTCAATGTTCTCGGCGACAAATTAGTATAATTCTGTGATTCGAATCCCTGAGCTGCATCATCCCTGTGATTACCTCTCGTTAAGTTTCTTTTAAGCTCGTCAAAGCGCGTCCCGCGGCGAGCAACGGTTTGATTTGCATTCAATAGACTGATTGAATTAGGGTAATATTGTTAGCTCTGTATCTGTTTTTTGTTTCTTGTCGTCCCTTTTATTAAATGTATCATTCTAGAGATTATTAACTGTTTGTGTATTATTTGTATTGAATTGTAAATTAAAATTTAGTACTTTTTTATGTAATGGTATTTAACGTATAGATATTTGTAATCTATTTTGCTAATATGTTTATTATTACATTATTTGAGATTTATTTTAAATGTAAAGAAAGTAATTGCACAACTTTCAATGTCCATAATATTTGCCAAATAATGATCTGAATGAATCCTAACTTCATTATGGATCAATATAGTTTTATATTTAATAAAATAGAAAACACATTAGTCAGTTTTAAATCATTTGTCACCCAATTCAATTCTAAAAACTCCTAGTCATTCATTACTATTGCTTTAGTTAGTTCACCATTTTCCTTGACACCGGGGGTCTCCTGAGCTCAAACTGAGATGATTAGCCCAATTCAATAATTGATCCAGCCGAAATGAGCAGTAAATTGCTCACTTTTTTGCTTAAATTGATGCGATTTACTAACACTTGATTCGTCCAAAATCAAGTTAATGAAGTTATGCAAATTACGATAATATGAATTGTAATATTGAACATTTTTTTATGCTATCTTATCAGAAGCTTATATTAATGTAATAGATTTATAAGTTTACATATATTTAACATATTTTATTACATTGATAACTAGTTAAAAAAGCAAAAAAAAAACGGATTAAAAGTCCTTTTAGTATGGTAATCTTCGTAATATTGTTTCCTGATTATATTGTTTCCTTTTTATACTATCATTTTATTTTCAGTATCTTTAATGTTGACTTCCTTTACCGAAATCAGCAATCGCACAAGTTAACGCATTAATTAAGAGTAATAATTTGTCATTGTGTCCATAATATTCTATATATATTTTTTATGATATAAGTATGTCGAATGACAGCAGTTAATGTCCGCCAATTGACATAATCATGATACTCATCGCAAATCCAAAATCGCCCCAAAAAGTTAATCTGTCCCCTAAGATTATAATCCCTTGCTAGAATCACTAACGCATCTCTCCCTGTCCACTCCAGGGCCCCTAATTCACTAATAGAAAACAGAGTATCCGATGTCTCGTGTCCGACACCGTGACGACATCCGGCACACGCCGGAACTGCAATATGGCTGACAAGGTTTCGCTAATATATTTTTCTTTTCTCTGTTAACAAGATGGATTTTGTTTATCTTGTTTTTATGTTTGGTTTAATTTCTTTGTTGTCTCTCAGTTTCATCATCAATCGTAGGAATTTTTTGAATACCGTGTGTAATTTGAGATTTAAAGCTGTATATTTGAAGTCTCCGGTAATGTTAGATGTGGAACCTTAACACTCTACAAATATTATGTGATCGACATATGGATGGATGACTCGAAAGATTGATCACGATAAAGAAAGTCTGAAATCTGCAACACATTCGCTAGATATTTTTACCAGAGTTATAAACATTAGTATATAGTACATGCAGAAATCCGCTAATTAAGAATTTTTAAGATCTTTTTACTCCGTCCTATTATATACTATGATTAATTACATACGATATGTAAATATATCTACTACAATACATTTTATGACCACGCCCACACCTCATACCCGATAACGTCCTTCTTTGACCTTTGTTATGGAACATTCATCCCCATTCGTTGTCCTTTTCTACTGACCTTTGCTATGGAAAGTTCAGCCTTATTTGCCGTCCTTGTCTGTCCTTGTATCCTTATATAACTATCCCGGCGTCAGACTCGTCGGCGCC